TCACAAGCTTAGCGATGCTGCCCTCGACCCGGCGCCGCAGTCAACCTGTAAACGTCGAAGAGGAGGGCGACTGAAGACTTGACTCGACACCGTCCGTCAAGGCATGGAAGCAGTTCTTGGACCTTCTATCTTCGGTCTCCGTCGCTGGAGAAGGGACTGGGTGGAATCTTGGACCTTCTATCTTCGGTCTCCGTCGCTGGAGAAGAGACTGGGTGGAGCTCTCTAGATCCACTGCCGCCAATCGTCAGGCATGGAGAGGTACCGTTCGCGACATCACTGAGGCCGGCTAGATCAGGCATGATCACAGCCGTAACAAGTACAAGTAAGAAGGAGTGGTTTTACTGTAATTGCGAGGATTTAAAGCAGGCTAGGGACTGTTTATGGGTTGGAAACCCAGAATTGTGCCAGATATTTCTGTAATCACGAGTCTCCATTTTTAGAAAATGAGGGAGGAATGATATTGCGTAACAGACTCGATGGAAGGGAAACTTCCTCTAAAAACTGAAAGCTATTCAGGCAGCCCTTTTGATGACTGGCCCTCGAACGTAACCTGGAGTTTTCTCGTTTCCGACGCGCAAGATGAGTAATCAAATTTTGGCATGGGATAGTAGAGCATTAAAAAATAACCGTAACAGAATTCTGGCTGGGAGAGCAAGAAACAATGAATTAGGGAAATCAGAGAGACGTTGTCGATAGTGCAGTGAAAGTGCATTCACTGGAAAGAGTGAAGGAGTTACCTTCGTTCTGATTGTTTGTATGACCACAGGTGTACTCTTCGAATCTCTCGGAAACATAATAGTCTTTCTTATGAAACCGCTCTTGTCGGTGCGGGAGGGACTTCTACAGGGCAGTCGCAGAATGTTCCCCAGAAAAACGCCATGTTAACATTTATGCATGCATGGGTCACTATAGGAAGGATCTAGGTCTCTATGCTATCAACTTCCTGTTGATCTCTTTGTGGCTTAAATAGGTCACTTCTGCCCGAATTTTTACACAAATCACTATATTAGAGTTAGGTCTTGGCACTGCAACAGATTAAGGAGTCCCGAAAGATAGGAAATGTAAGTAAAAGCGGGTGCGACTAAGTCATTATTATCACAGCTGGAGTACTTACCATCGAACAATCTGCGCAGCTGTACAGTATGCGGCAATAGCTTGATCGTGTTCGTTGTCGGCAGCGTACGCATGACCTAAGGCCAGCCAGGCGGGTCCAAAACGCCTGTCTTGTTGAGTCGCCTTCCTTAAAAGAGAGAAGAAAAACAGTCCAGAATGGTTCACGGGCTCGACAGTCCTCGGCATGTCAATGTGAAAAAGGGTATAAGTTTTAGGATATTAGCCGGACCAAATGCTAGCAACGTTTGGAGGCTTTCCTGAGG